CGAGAAGGACGTGGCGTGATACTAGTCACGTGACCTCGCTGACGCAACAATACAAATAGACAGTCATCTCGCTAACAGTACCCACTTCTCACTTTATAGACGCTTGTTGTCTGACCGCATAGTGGGGTTTGACCATCACCTTTATAATACGTCCACTATCCCAAAGTGGAGAGCGCCGTTTGTTTATTTCGTAACGGTAACCGGACGCGAACATTGAACTGGAGATCCACAGTCTGGCACACTAACCATCAACCCTATGGGAACAAGTAATACTTACAGCAAAATATCTGTCTCATTTCCTTGATATTATTTCTTGGATTTTATAAGTTTTATTGTGAACTGATCTATTTTAGTAATTTGGTACCAGCACAATCTATCAAGGATCTTTCTTATAACAAGCTTATGAAAGTACTGCTTTAACCATATATGTATGGTAGATATTTTTATAAGCGATTTATAGTGTATATTATACACATTTGTTGTTCTTATAAGTGAATTAAAAGAAGTTATACAACATCATTGAACATGATGTTAAATAATAAAACGATTTAAAATACTTCCTCTTATTTATCAAGAATCCAGAAAGATGTTTATGGTAAACAAAGTATACACATTGTTGTAACAACATAAATAGTTAAACCATTACTGCGGATATACATTGTAGTAACAATATAAATAGTTAAACCACTACTGCGGATTAGCGAATCTGGCACCGTGCCAAAAAAGTTACTCCTACGTGTATAATTTTCTTCTTTCTATATGTTTTTTTGTTTTTCTACAAAATAACATTACGCATGCGTAACTTTACCGGCGTCTGGTATTATGCCCACGCCTTATCGATCGAAATATCTAGCACGTGGAATAGTATGTTGCGTAAGGAGTGCGTTTCCTAGCCGCCACTAACATCCTTGAGAGAAAGAATGTAACAGAAAAAAAAAATACAGAAATTTCCGAATGAACTTTCAAGGTAGACACACCCATTCTTACAACACCACTGACGTACTTTAATTACCTAATTGTTACTACTTGAAAGGCGCATTTTAATTTGAAATTATAAATATAACCTGTATTTCAGGTTTTATTTGATTTTTGTACCACACAACATCTATTTTCATAAAGGTTTAAATATGTTTTAAGATCATTATCCTTTGCTGTAATGTGATTTTGTTAGTTTTCAGTCAGTGTTGAAACAAAATGATGGTTTTTCGAAAAGTTCTTTGTTACGTTAATAGCTAACTTATAAACACTGGTACTTATTAACTGCCGAAATGTTTCGATAGAGGGGAAACTTTGAGTTTAATTGATAACCTAATTCCAAGATAAATCTGTATTAATTGAATATTTACGTTATTTGGTATTTAGGTTGTGTGATATTCATCTGAACGTGAAAAGTTATACGTATTTACAGTAAACTTTTCCAGATGTCGTGTGGCACTTTTCAATACTAATACACTTTTATTATGCATTTTAAATATTTTCCTAGTTGTAGAAAAAGGAACTGACTCGTTACAAGAAACAACAATAAAGACAGTTTACGACTATAAGTTTTATTTCAGTATTTTATTTTTGTTCTAACGGTATTTGAAGAATCTTTATAAATAACACAATTTACATCTCTTGTATCATAACTGTCTGCATCAATCATTAACTTTACTGAACATATCTTGATTACATTTCAAATGGCTCGTAACAAAAACATACTGTTTTAATCATAATACAACAGTGTTTAGCACAAATAATAATTGTTCATATTTATATACATATATACAGTTTGAGAAACTGTGAATCCGTGAAACCTCAAAACCTTTATACTATTACAATCAATCCATAAAAATATCCAGAGTAATTACATGCCTTGTGGTGTAAGTCGCATAACGTTTTCGACCCTTATTTACATGAAAGTATATATGGAATATATATATATACAGAATGTCCAAAAAAAGTTCACTCATGATATTCTTACTAACTTGAAGAACTTAGAGTAACTTTACACTCGGTCCCTTGGGAGGAATTTGCTCCGTCACTGTCTCAATCTTCAGTTTTCTCTTGAGCTTGTCTACGAGTCGATTGTGAAATTTGTTCAAAGAAGAATTAGAAGCCGAGTTGGGAGAATGGCTTTCTGATACACACTGTGAGCTACAGCGACGCTGTTGTTCCCTGGACTCGCCTTGCAAATGAGCAATATTAGCCATTCTTTCCTCTACATCACTCTCCGGGGAGCAGGACAGACTAGGCGTGGCAGACTCGCTCCTTGTTCCTCGTCTAGACCGAGGTTGACTGCAGTTACTGCCCCTTCTAGATCGACTTGGATAAATTTCATATTCGTTTCTGACGACAGGCATCATAAAAGCCATTGTTGGTTGTACTTGTTAGGCTTAGGGGTTTTAAAAACGCTACTCTTAAATTCCAAAACTTTTCAATATGACGTGTATTTTCAGAACTTGTCTGTAGACTCAATCGTTAATGTAACACACAACTGATATAAAAATAACCAAAGTTAAGCGAATATCTCTCAATACTAACGAGCAAAGAAACCCAAAGTGAATGAATGACGCACATTGTGACCTATCAAGTTATACACAAACTGAAAGTATGTCACGTGATGTAAACTTGGAAGCGTGCCAGCATTATTGGTGGTGTGGCTAAAGTCGCTTGCAATTGGCTGCATGACGTCGTGTGGACGTTAACACCTACAAGAACGAGATGTAATATTATGAACCAAAATGTTTTGATTAAAAGATAATCTTGGAAAGGTTAACGATAACTAAAATATGTTTATTCTGCTATGGTGTAACACATTAAAAGAATAATCCCAAGCAAGCTTATAAAATCTTTTTTCGGTTCTTAGAAAATGTGTGAACGTTTTGTTTTTCAACACTTCGACTGATTGCGCCATGGAAAATTCCATTAAAAGCTCTTGAGCTGAAGGTTGTTAATATGAAGGCGTGTAACTTAAATGCTTATCTTTATTATGTATACATTGAAATCACTGCTCAAATATCAAAGAAAGATTAATGAAAGAATTTCAAGTGAAGACTGAAAATGTCAGCGGATTTTATCTTTATTTGCCTTTCTATATGTATTGCTGAATTTTTTATAAATTTACAGAACAAACCGAAACACTTTCAAGATTAGATAAATTCTAATAGAAATTCTTCTCCAATGGATCTACACATGTCATCATAGATATAACATATATAATATGATTTATTTTTAAAGATAGTCAAATTATGCATTGATTCTAAAACAGTTTTCCTAATAGAAATGCTGTTATATTAAACCATCTTCATAGCAAGAAATCAGATTCAACACGTGTTTTATATACTAGTAAAACTTACCTGAAGTGATAATGTAGTTGCAATGTTTACAACAGGTATACTATTGTTACATCTCCCTTTGTTAATTAACTTTTCGTAACTTCGTTCCGACAAAACTTTAGCGA